AATATACTGTTTCTAAGACTGGTGTTCACTGCAGACCACAGAGAGACTTGGGATTGATTGCTTGAGTGGCTGAAAAAAGTTCTCTCACTTCTGCATCTTTACTTTTCCCTCTCACATCTGTCTGAGGGCATATGATGATTCTGGTACTGGTAACTCATTACTTCATTTGTTAAGCTTCCTGCTAAAAACACAGACAAGTGTACCTCTTTCACAGGCTTCATAATCCAGGATTAACAGGTTTCAGACGTATCTTCAGAGATTCCGAGTTTCCAATTCCCTTTAATTGTCTTCTAAAATGCTCATGCCTTTTAGCCTAAAGCCATACCCTTTTGCTATGACACCAAGATGTGAATCTGTTCCAGCTGTCTTACAGATACTTGTAGGTTCCTGGGAAAAGTTCTGCTGCTGTATCCAAAAATCTGGTCTGGTGAAAACTAACAGTCTCCAGAGCTCATTTTGACCTCGGCCATTTTCAAGAATACTTTACAAGTCACTCCTGTGGTCTGGATCAAGACCAACTTATAGAGGGCCCTCCAGATAATGACAGCACCCGCACCAGCTCCTGGGCCTTCACCACTGGTACCACCTCTCCAGGCTCAAGTGGGCACCTACTCAGCAACTACAATCTGGCTTTAAAGGACATATCTGCTCTCGTGTCTCACTCTTTCACCCATGCCTCCCCTGTACAACCAGGGTACATCTTCGTCCCACTCTTCCTGGCAGTTAATCCCCGTCCCATGACTGGCCCCATTCATAGAGTCTCCTAACAACCTGCCTTCTCATCTCCCTCAAGGAACAGATACCCGAGTTCTCCAGAAGGGCAGTTAACTGGACGCCTCTCCACCCACACCTCCCGCTAAGCATGAGTCCACCAACTCCCAACTCTTTCCTCCCCCATGTAGCCCCATGCCCACAGAAAGTAGCCAGACTTGAGCTGATGCCCCTATACCCAAAGAATCGGGAATTTTTGGGTTAAAGCCTCACCCCAAACCTTGGTATTCATATATCCAAGAAGTCTGAAATGTTCAAGTGGAAGTTTCATCCCAAGTCCCCTCCCCTGGGAGTTGCCTCAGTCCAGACTCTACCAAATGATGACCCCTCCCCAGAAATACTCAAGACCACTCCCAAAGGGTATTTAAACTGCCCCCCAGGAAACAATCCTGTGGTTTTCCAGTCTTCCTTTCCAGTGTCCTCCTGGGGGTGCTGGAAAGCCATCTGGGAGCATTTATATTCATTAAACCTGGGCTTTTTCAAATTTGGTTTGATTTGGTCTGATTCGGATTATTGCATCAGCAGAGAGGCTGATGGTGTGCAGAAACCTTTCATTTGGAGGTCCCACCGCGGGGGTGTTTTGTTCTCCCACTGGCCCTGGGCCTCGTGTTGGGAACACACCCTTCTCCCCGCACCTACTCTCCGCCAGGCTAAGATCCGCTTTGTTAGGGTTGTCTCTCCAACCCATTGCCTGAGAAGCCCACGGTTTTTTATTTTCGAGCTGCCCTGCAAAAGACGCCACCGGTGGCACCAGGTTCCCAACCTGTTACCGGGACAAGGACTTGCCTTGTCCCGTGGGATCCCTTTTTCAGGAGAGACTGTGTTCAAAGGAATTTTTCTCACACCTCTTTTTTTTTTTTGACCCAAAACCTACCACAGTGGACGCACTGCGCTAGGCTTCAGGTCCAGCATAGATTTGCAAAATGGACACCTACAATTCGAGGCCTGATCCCCAAATGATCTTGGACTGCCTTTTAAAATCTTTTAAAATTGGGGCTGTCTGACATCATACGTCCCTTAATGCCTAAATTTTTTTTCCCCGGCATGGGAACAAGTAAACAAAACCCCATATGCCCATGGTTTCTTGATGTTATGCGCCCATCCTTCCCTCAGTGGCCAGTGTCTCACAAGCACAGGTCTGCTAGAGACATTGGCTGCTCCCTTCCTCCACCCTCCCCTCGCCTTCCAGTACCAAGCACTGTTAATTGTTCAGCAATCTCAGGCACATCTTTAACCTCCAGTTGAATTCCCCAATGTGGAATCCAAGGGATATGGGTGGGACAGTACACAATTTACTATTAAGATATTCATGTCAATGGTACATCCCTAAAATGCTAGCTTCAGGAAGTTGAGACAGGATTAGTTTGAGGTCAATCTTGACTATGAGATCCTATCTCAAAAACCAGAAGCTAAAGAGGGGCTCGCTGGTTAAGAGAACTTGTTCCTGCAGAGGACTGGGTTTCGGTTTCCAGCACCCATATGCACAACTAACTTCAGTTTCAGATCTGACACTCTTTTCTGACCTCCAACACCAGGCACATATGTACTACACATTCATACATTTCACTAAAACATTCATACACATAAATGTAAAACAAGAGTATCTAAAGTATCAATCATGGATTTCATACATTTGTTGAATCACTTGATAAAGTCATCTGATCATAGAACAGATGTATAATTTTAATCCCCTATAAACAAAATAAGCATATCAATTGTGGAATAAGTACTTAAATTTACCAATCAGCTAAAATACTGCTAAGACCATTTTTAGACAGCCTCAAACTGATGGTAAGGGCTGAAATTACCCAACATGTCTCAAACAATCATTATTTGTCTTTAAATTTGTATACCACTTTCACAATGGCTACTTTATCATGTTTCAGAGAGGAGAAAAGGGCAACTATACAGATCAGAGAACACACCCAGGAGTCAGTGGCCATCTGGGGACCGTATTCGGGTCATTAGGTCTGCACAGCATTTTCTCTTCACCCACTAAAGCGCTTCACTTGTGTGCATGTGTTTGCATATATGTGTACAAGCATGCAGGCTACATAATGTGCACATGGCAATCAGAGCACAACCTGTAGGTGTTGCGGTCACCTTTTACCAAGTGGATCCCAGGGATCAAGCTCACGTTGGCAGGCTCAGGGCAAGTATCATTATCTATTGAGCCATCTCACCAGCCCAGACCCTAAACTTAAAATGTGCACAGGCATTTTGTCTGTTGTTGTTTTCAACTGTTTGATTTTACCAATAGACTCAGGAGCCAGATGCTGGGGTGAAAGCCTGCTAGCTCTAGAAGGCAGAGAAAGCACAGCAAGCTAGCTGACCTTCCTCTTCCATTGACATTCCAGAAAAAGGCCTTTCTCAAGATTCCTCTAACTCAATGTCCCTTCCTTCCTATGCGTCTTCTCTATCCATCCTTCTGATTCCGTCTTACCAAGGTATTTTCTTGTTCATTTCCTGTCAACTGGTTGCTTGCTCAGCCTCCTGACATATGGTTGACTTTAATCCTATTTACAATAAGGTTTTTGTTGTGTGAATTGAACTACACAATTAGATTTTTAACAATAACACAATCTTATGGTTAACAGTGATCAAATATTGTGCAAAATTGCTTACATGCATGTCTGTGTACCAGAAACATGCAACGTGAGCTGCCATCTGGGTGCTAGGAATGTGATCTTGTTCTCTAGAAGATAAACCTGTACTGTCTGGGCCATCTCTCCAGCCCCAATAATCCTCTAGAAACTAATGACCCTTGCAGAAAATTTCTGTTTATCTATGTGTACATAATTATGAAGACCAGAGGACAGTCTGGGGTGTCACAGAGTTACTGTCCATCTTGTTTTGAGAAAGCGCCCTTCACTGGTCTAAAATTGAGAATAGGTGGGTCAGCTGAAGAGCCTTTTGGGATCCACTTATCTCTAACCCTGCCCCCTTGAACTCATATCTGCCTGCATCTGCCTCCAATGTTGGCACTAAAGGTGTTCACATCTTAACTTTCTTGAATTCAGGGCCTCATGTTTATGTATGTATGTATGTACTTTACAAATCTAACCATCTCCCTAGCTCCCAGAAAATTTAATAAAAAAGAATGGTAAGACCTACGTGTGCCAGGATGGAGGTAACGCACGCCTTTAATCCCTTAATTCAGCAGGCAGAGAAATATAGATGTCTGAGTTTCAGACCAGCCGTGTCTACAGAGTTAAACCCTGAACAGTCAGAGCTACAGAGAAAACCTGTCTCAAAACAAAAGACAAAAAATTTCAAGACCTATCTCCAAAAGTAAAAAACCCAAATTCAGTTTCTACCATACACATCAGGTAGCTGATAACCCTTACTGCAGAGCAGACTCAAAGGTACACAAAGAAACCCTGCTTCGAAAAACAAAATCAATCAATCAATAAATAGAGCAAACAGAAACATAAAAATTCTTATTAACTAAAAATTATTCTGCTATCAAAACAGGTCTTTCACTTTGGTTAAGACTCCTGATGAGGCCTGGAATGGGGACACACATCTCATCACATGGGAGGCAGAGGCAGGCAGACCCCTGTGAGTTACCCTGTGACCAGCCCAGTCTACAAAGTGAGTTTCAGGAAAGCCAGGGCTATGTAGAGAGACCCTGACTCAAAAGCCAAAAACAAAACTTTATAAACATTTGACAAAGAAGTTATTGGTTGGCACACTGCACAAATAAAGGCTTCTACACTGATCAAATGAAAATCTAGTGAACATCTGAGTTTTATTTCTAGAGAATCTAAGGTTATATTCTATTGATAACTTTTCAAAAATGCATTAATAACAAAAATCAATGTTTTTTGTGTAGCCCTAGTTGTCTTGGAAATCAGAGATCTGCCTGTCTCTGCCTCCTGAGTGCTGAGACCAAAGAAAGGCATGTGCCACCACAGGCATGTGCCACCACAGGCAAGCAAAATAAATTAATTAAATAAAGGGTTTTTTTCTTGCTTGCTTTTATCGGTTAAGGTTGGTTCCAGAGTAAAACTAACGAAAGTGAATTTTACATCTGATCCCAAAAGGACTCTGTTGAAATACCAAGAGTTTATTTCATCTCAAAAGGGGCACCATATAATGGACTCAAAGAAATTTAATGCATGTTCATCAGTGCACACATATTTCATGTGACTGACACCAGGAATTGAACATACTGTGCTGAGTATACAGGAGACATTTTAACTTTGATTTGATAATCAGCAGAAAACTTCATCCCACACTTAAGTTTATTAAAAACTGACAAACAAAACCTGTACAAAAAATATCCCCCAATTCCATATCACTTTGGAAGTAATCTTGAAAGACATTATCGCCTAGGACCCCCTCTTCCTCTGCCGCGACCACGTCCTCTTCCTCTACCTCGGCCTCGACCTCGTCCTGCAACTGGGGAAAAAGTTAAAGCAGGTGAAATTCTCTTCAATAGTCAGTGCCCAGCTACCACACAGGCTTACCCCTTTACTATCCACACCTCTTAAAACACCACTACTACCGTGTAAAACCAAAAAGTGCCAGCAGGGGGACGATTTATACCCTATGCTAGAATAGAAGCCAAGCAAGTTAGCCCAAAATCAACAAACCCCAAGTACATTATACCAAATGACAATCTAATAACAACAGAGCCTGAAAAGTTGTTTGGTTCAACCATAACTTAGTACTTTAACCCACAGCCATATATCCTTAACATTATGAGGACAAAAGACAAAACAAAAACAAAACAGAAAGACAAACCAGTGTACCTGCTTGATGTACTCAGACTAAGATTTTAAGATCTGTCTATTCCCCCCTGGTAGTCAGATCAAACCCAGGGCCTCACGCAGAAAGGTCAGGCAAGTGGCCTATCACTGAGCCTGTAAAGTCACCCACCCGTTCATTTTAGGATATGGTCTCTGTGGTGGTCTGAAAGAAAATGGCCCCCAAAAGGAGTCTCACTATTATTAAGAGGTGTGGCTTTGCTGGAGTAGATGTGGCCTTTCTGGATGAAGTATGTCACCACCGTGGAGACAAGCTTTAAGGTCTCAAAAGATCTTAAGCCACGCCCAATGTCTCACCACTCCTGTTGCCTACAAGTCCAGATGCAGGACACTCAGCTACTTCTCTAGCAAAATGTCTGTACATCATGATGAAAATGGACTGAACTCTGAAAATGTAAGTCACCCCAAATAAATGTTTTCCTCTGTAAGAGTTGCAGTGGTCATGGTGTTTCTTCACAGCAATGGAAACCCTAATTAGACAGTCTCTTCTAGTTCTGGCTGATCTGGTTCTTACTCTGTAGACCAGGCTGGCCTCAAACTAAAAGAGCCTGCCTCTGCCTCTCAAGTGCTGGGATCATAGGTGCGCACTTAGTAAAGAAATTGCTTCTAGAGAAACGGGATCTTTAGATACAAAGAATGCTATGACACAAGGCTGAACAAATGTGGACGCATCCTGTAAAGTTTTTCACTACTTTGTCAAGTAGGTGGGAAAGAAAAAGTAGAGGGAACCAAAACACAACACAAAAAGGCTTAAGATTTAGAAAAACGGTACAAGGCGAGGGATTTAAAGGGACAGATGGAATCAGTGTTTCTTAAGCTACGTATTACAATTTTTTAAACGAGAAAAAGAATGATAACCCCAAGAGCTTTTGTAGTGCTATAACTAATTCTAGCAGGCTACAACACAAGTGCATCTTTGGGCAAAAGGCAAAACAAAACAAAACAAAAACCACCTCAAAGTCAGCATATTAAACATCTATGAAACAATGGCCCTGCCGGGCGGTGGTGACACCCACCTTTAATCCCAGCACTTGGGAAGCAGAGGCAGGAGGATCTCTGTGAGTTTGAGGCCAGCCTGTCCTACAAGAGCTAGTTCTAGGTCAGGCTCCAAAGCTACAGAGAAACCCTGTTGGGGGGGGGGGGCAGTTACTTAGGGAGGTTGAGCAGAGGGTCACAAGTTCAAGGCTAGATGGCTCAGTAGGTAGTATTTGCTGCAACGCCTGCTAACTGAAGTTCAATCCCCAAGACCAACATGGTGAAAGGCATGCTGACTCCTGCAAGTTGTCCTCACTTCCAAACACACATCACCATACATATGTGCCCATACTCTCAGGCACCTGCATACACACGTAAATAACTAAATGTAAAAATAAGAAAACAAAATGATGGGAATGTAATAAAATAGTAGAGGCTTATCTTTTATGGACGAGATTATAGGTTTAATTCTCCAATGTTAGTTCTTAATGAATTAAAATTATTAGTTTTACTATCACATGTGTATATGTCATATGTTATGTGTATGTATGTGCATACTTGAGAGCGTGCCATATTGCACAAGTGGAAGGCAGAGTAAAACTTTTGGGAGATGTTTTTTTCTTTTCAGTGCAGGTTTGGGATTAAACTCAGGTAACGAGGCTTGCATGGCAAGTAATTTTACTCTCTGAGCCATCTCCAGGCAAAGAAAATCCAAGTGTCTTTAAAAATAAAAATACACCAGCAGAGGTGGTATATTTCTTTAATCCTAGTATTTGGGAGGCAGAGGCAAGAGGATCTCTTTGAGTTTGAGGCCATCCTGGACTACGGAGCAAGTTCCAGGACAGTCAGGCTATACAGAGAAACCCTGTGTGTGTAATGGGACACACACACACACACACACACACACACACATATCAAATAGAAGAGAAATCAGAGAAAACAGGGCTAAAGATGTAGCTCAGTTTGTAGAGTGCCTGCCTAGCATGCACCAGTCCTTGCTTTTGATCACTAGTACCACATAAACCAGGATGGTGAACAGTTCTAATCCTAGCTCTTGGGAAGTGGAGGCAGGAGTAAGAGTTCCAAGTTACTTTTCACTACAGTTAATCTGAGATCAGGTGAGCTACATCAGAAAAAAAAGAAAAAAGAGAAAAGGAAAAAGAAAGCAATCAGAGAAAACTAACAATGACAAAATACTAAAAACTTCTCAAAGAAAAATTGAGGTAGAACAGTCCTATACCATATACACACACAATCTAACATGAAGTTGGGGTATATGGGAGAAGAGGTTCAAGAGCTGATCAAGATATTATGTATATGTGCAAGAAAATTATAAATAAAGTTAACGAAAGTAAAACTAACGTCAAGCAGTAGTGGCACATGTCTTTTATCCCAGCATTCTGGAGGCAGATCGCTGTGAGCTCAATGCCAGCCCAGTCAACAGAGCAAGTTCTAGTACAGCCAGGGCTACAAAGAGAAACCCTGTCTCCATACCTCCCTCCCCATGTGTGCCTGCAAAATAATAACACAATAAAAACAATGAGTGTGGTGGTTTGAAAGAAAATGTCCCCCAAAGGGAATGGCATTAATAGTAAGTGTGGCCTTGCTGGAGTGGGTACAGTTTTGTTGGAGGAAGTGTGTCCCTGTAGAGGCGGGCTCTGAGGTCTCAAGTAAGTTCAGCCACAGCCAGTGAGACAGTTCACTTCATGTTGCCTTCTGATCAAGATATATAGCCAGCACCATGTCTGTTTACATCCTGCCATGTCCCACCATGATGATAATGGACTAAACCTCTAAAAATGTAAGCCACCCCAATTAAATGTGCTTCTTTTATAAGAGCTGCGGTCATGGTGTCTCTTCACAGCAACAGAAACCCTAAGAAAAGCCAGGTGGTGGCTGTGCACACCTTTAATCCTAGGACTCAAGAGGCAGAGGCAGGTGGATCTCTTGAGTTCAAGGCCAGCCTGTTCTACAGAGTGAATGCCAAGACAGGCTCCAAAGCTACAGAGAAACCCTGTCTCAAAAACCCAAACCAAACCCCGCCCCCTAAAAAAAGAGAAAAAAGAAAAAAAGAATAAAACCCTAAGACAACAGCAACAGGAGCTTATGAAAACTGAAGGGAGGCTTGAGATAAAGTCTGTGCCAACTGACAGCAGAAGCTAGAATGAGAAGGCACAAAGACAAGAGAATCAGCCAATAAGTCAACAAAATTTAACGTTTTCTTAGCTGTATGGGCAAGAAGATTCACAATGAATTTTCACAAAGTATCTAAAATAAGAAGAGGCAGCTGTGCCGCCAGCCTCCAAAAAAAAAAGTTGAACACAGCTTGATAGAATGACGGATAAGGAAAATTATGGGGACAGCGGGAGAACTGTGCCACAAACACTATCCGATCCTGGGACAAGAATTTCGTTTTGAAAGTAGTGAACTTAAGGTATACACAATATTCACATTCCTTCACAGCTTGTTATATATTTCCTTTGTCTACCAGATAGGTTCTTTCTCTGTAGTCCAGCTCTCCTTGAACTTGTGGCACTCCTCCTGTCTCAGCCTCTTGAATGCTGAGATTACATAAGAACGGCATGGCTGACCTGTCTCCACAGCAACTTCAGAAGCTGTCACATGCACTCATAAGTATAAGATGTTCCAAGCAACAAAACACCCTTGTTGTTCACAAAGGTATTTTCAACAGTGAATTAAGATTTAAATACACTATACACAAAACACCTTCACACTTACCAGCTTCTCTCTTCTTAGACTTCACCTTAGGCTCAACATCCACAAGTAATGTATCAAGAGGTAAGCTGTCTGGTAGAATAAAGTATCGAATGTTGTTTCCTCGGATACTCAATGTTTCCAACTGTACAGGTTCTCTGTTCTTCAGGGTCATTTTCACAGCTTTAAGATGTGTATTCATGCTAACATCTACACCTAAGGAGGAAAACAGAACAATTACCAGAAGGCAATCTATCTTGCCACAGTTGAAATAATCCTGTAGAGTATTATCTGGAGGCTAGAGAGATGGCTCAGAGGTTAAGAATGTAAAACCTCTGGAAGAAGAGGTCTTACATTCAATTCCCAGCAACCAAATGACGGCTCACAACCATCTATAATGAGATCTGATGCCCTCTTCCGGCATGCAGGCATGCCTGCAGACAGAACACTGTATAAAAAAAAAATAAATCCTTAAATTAAAAAAGTTATCTAATCTGTTAGTCACATGCACAATGGGGGGATGCAATATAAACCAGTAACTGCTCCTTTATAAAGCCCCTTCCTAGCCATGGTTACTACTGTGCAGGCTAAGTACGTGCACTGAATAGGATGCATGATGGTATGCTTAAGTCATGCCTGGAATCTCAGCATTCAAGGGGCTGAGGCAGGAGGAGTGCCACGAGTTCAAGGAGAGCTGGACTACAAAGAACCTATCTGGTAGACAAAGGAAATGAAATATAGCAAGCTGTGAAGGAACGTGAATATTGCGTATGTCTTAAGCCCACTACTTTCAAAACGGAATTCTTGTCCCAGGATTAGATAGTGTTTGTGGCACAATTCTCCCGCTGTCTCCATAATTTTCCTTATCCAACATTCTATCAACCATGTTCAACTTTCTTTTTAAAGACCTATGCTATTTTTCACCTGTCTCTAGGAACTCCTCCCCTACCTTCCTAAGACAAAGTCTATCTTTGCACCCCAGGCTGACCTCAGACTTGTGATTCTCCTGTCTAAGTCTCCCTAGTGCTTACTTGGTTTACAGGCAACCAACACCTCAACCAGCTTAACATGTCTATTTATTTATTTAAAAAAAATTTTTTTTTGCTGGGTAGTGGTGATGCATGCATTTAATCCCAGCACTTGGGAGGCAGAGGCAGGAGGATCTCTGTGAGTTCAAGGCCAGCCTGGTCTAGAAGAGCTAGTTCCAGGACAGGAACCATAAAGCTACGGAGAAACCCTGTCTTGAAAATCAAAAAAAAAAAAAAGAAAAAGAAAAGAAAAAAAAAGAAAACAAACAAGAAGAGGGTTGGGAAATGGGAACGTTGGCCTTTACTCTCAGTACTCAGGAGGCAGGGACAGGTGCATCTTTGAGTTCAAGGCAAACATGGTCTACAGATCAAGTTCCAGGACAGCCAGGGTTACACAGAGAAATTCTGTCTTAGGAAAAAAAAAAGGACCAACAAATCCTTTCCCCTTCCTATGATATAGCCTCGATATATTCCACCTCCTCTGCCTCCTAGGGACACTGATTTATGTAGGCAAGGAGAAGCAGAGAGACTTACGATCTCTTATGTTCTAAGACCTACACATTAAGACATTAATTAGTCTCTCACTACCTTCATGGCATATAGCACACTGTGATGACTGAGCTGAGTGTATAAGTGTGTGTGTGTTCATATAAGATACTGAAGTCTCAACAGTGACTGTCCACTAGAGGGAATAAGATCTTTACTAAATTTTGTCCTCCCAGTTTATTGAAACCTTCCTCCTGGGACATCCATTTCTAAGCACCTATTATGTATATGGTGAAACTTGTGTTTTTGTTTGTTTTTTTTTAATAGTAGAGCTTTTATCATTAGATTTTGACAAAAAAAAAAAAGAGCAAGATTGCCATTCTGGGGGCTGGGGATAGCTCAGCTGTTAGATATGAAGCCCTGGTTTCAACCCCCATTGCCAAATAAAAGAGGTGTGCTGTGTACACTTATAATCCCAGCACCCAGGAGCTAGAGGCAGGAAAACAAGGCCATCCTTAACCATACACAGAGAGTTTGAGAGTAGTTCTAGAATACATAAGACTACCTAGAAATAGAGGGCGGAGGGAACACTACCACAACAAAACCCACCCCAGCTCTTCCACAACGCCCAACTGTGTTCTGCAGGAAGTAGACCAAATCACTACTCAGGACACTTTAACAAGGGTAGCAGCTGTACTTCCTTAGATATGGTGCCATACCATACAAAACTTAATAGGCAAGTTCCATTCACAATTGGTACCATCAAGTCCGAGAATAACCATAAAATGACATCCCATTACATCTTTGTTTACTAAAACACTAGACTTACATGAGAATATGAACACATATTAAGATATTATTTTCTTTCTTTAAATAATCACTTAAAAAACTTTTGGAATGCCTACTATTAGCTAAGAAATTGTTCCAAAACTCAGTGGGTCAGTAAAAAATAAAGACTGGCACATGGAGGATGAATAGGTGGGAATAAGAAAGCAGTAGCGGAAGAGGAGAGGACAATAAAAGATAAAAATACAGTTGTATGAAAATACCATAATGAAATCAATCATACATATATAGTAACAGTAATAAAAAAATTAGTCAAATGTGAAACACAAACATAATAAAAGTGTAAAGTCTCAGAAGTGTTTTGAAAGAAGCAACATTTTATGGAGAAGAACACACACAAGCAAAGGTATACAAGCTATAAAAACAAAAGCACCTGGCAATGTGGTTTGGTTGTAGCACAAGAATATATCCTCACCTGTGATTGTTCCATGGACTTGTGTTCCATTCTTCAATTCAATGGTTACGGTTTCATGACTCAATTTCATCAAAAATCTATAAAATAAAAAGTACTGAATTTTACCTGTAACATTTAGAAGTCTTTTTGTGAAGCTGGTAGGGTGAAATTGCTAGAGTTCAAAACCTTCAAAATGATACTGCAACAATTCGTATGGGATCTGGACACTTGACCAGAACTAAGAGCACTTGTTACTCTTGCAGAGGACCCAGTTTAAGTCCCAGAACCCACATGAAAGCTTAAAACCACCAGGTCCCAGGGGCCTGGAGCCCTATTTTGATGTTCACAGGCATCAGGCAAGCTCTGGTGCACTACATTCATGCAGATAAAACACTCATACACATAAACATATTTTAACAATTCATATTAATAATATAGTGTATTTAACTTTCCTGAACTAAACTCTCAAACTTATAAAGGAATGAAGTAATAAGCTGTCATCTAGCATCTGTCTACTACAGGTGTGCCTACCTTTTTGGCTTCTTTGGACCACACTGGATGAAGAATTGGGGGTGTCCAAACCACAGCCCATGGACTATAAGAGTATTCAAATGTATATCTGACACAATAATGTCATCTACAAAGTTCATGCTTGAGTCTGTGATTCTGTGTTGAACCAGGTTCAAAACCGTTCTGAGCTCTGGACTAGAAAATACTGTAAACTGCTAGAAAACCACCTCAAATGAAGACATTCAAGATCCTGGAGTAGTATCAGGTGTGGTGGGCTTGCCTTTAATTCCAGCACTTGGGAGGCAGAGGCAGCTAAGTCTCTGTGAAATGGAGTCCAGCCTGGTCTATACAGCAAGTGAGATACTATCTTAACAAAAAGATCCTAGACTGGGCTGGAGAGATGGCTCAGAGGTTAAGAGCATTGCCTGCTCTTTCAAAGGTCCTGAGTTCAAATCCCAGCAACCACATGGTGGCTTACAACCATCTGTAATGAGGTCTGGTGCCCTCTTCTGGCCTTCAGGCATACACAGAGACAGAATATTGTATACATAATAAATGAATAAATTTAAAAAAATAAAAGATTCTAGACTAATTTTAAGCCACAAAAAATAAGACTTATCACTAGTAGCATAAGGTTACATGGCAGAGATAAAGAACCTCTTTTCTCTCCCTGCATTCTTGGTGACTAGGGATATTCTTATAACTCATAGGCACACATGTAAGATCTGACTTCACACAAAGTAGGCCATTCTTCAATAGCATCCTAACACTTAGACCTTATTTAGCAGTTTACACTAGAGATGATTCCTTAAAAACAAATATCCCAAGAGTTAGATAGCAGTCTACTATATGGAAATACCAATTATCTCACTGTGAACGTTTTCAACATTACAAACTCATTTATGCAAACACTCACCAATATCAATAACCAATCTTCCTATTTTCTATCTATGCAAAAAGAGAGTGAAGGACATACATAGCAAGATGGCTCGGAGGGTAAAGCACTTGCTGCAGAGCCTGACGATCCAAGTTTGATCCCTGGAGCCAAAATGATGGAGAGAATTGACTCCCCCTAGGGTCCTTTGACCTTTGTACACACAGTAATGCCAACCCTCCACACAAATAATTGTAATCTTTCTTGCCCCCTAGACAGGGTTTCTCTTCATAGCCTTGGTTGTCCTGGAATTCATGGAGATCTGCCTGCCTATGCCTCCCAAAGGCTGGGATTAAAGGTGTGCACCACCAGTACCCTGATAATTATCTTAAAAAAAAAAATTGAACCAGGCATGGTGGCAACCTTTAATTTCAACAGGAAGGCAGAGGCTGGTGGATCTGTTCAATGCCAGCCTGGTCTACAAAGTGAGCACCAAGCCAGCCAAGGCTATATATCGAGATCCTGCCTCAAAAACAACAATCATCAATAACAAAACTAATGAATTCAAATACCAAGCAGGGTTGGCAGGATGGCTCAGCAGGCAAAAGCACTTGCTATACAGGTTGAGGACCTGAGTTTTAATCTCTGGGACCCTGGTGGAAGGCAAAATAAACTCCCCCAAATTGTCTTGTAATGTACATGTACACCTCTTGTGTGCAAGAACACAAAGAATAGTAATAATTTATTTTCTAATGAGCAAAGCTAGGAAATATGTATGCTTGTAATCCTAATACTTGGGAAATGAGGGTAGAAGGAACAGGAATTCAAGGGCTTAGCTATACAGCCTGGCCAAATGAGACTGTTTCAAAGAAGAGGCTAGAGAGATGGCTTTGCAACTAGTCAAGAGCATTGGCTGCTTATCCCAGAGGACCCCGGTTAGGTCCCCAGAACCCACATGCCACCTTACAACTGTCTGTAACTACTCCATAAACATCAGACAAATATGTGATGCATACACATAAATCTAGATAATAACAACAACAACAATAATAAAAACAAAGGAAAGAGGAGGAAAGAAGGAGAGATAGTGGCAATTTGCCTGAGATTTAGTACCTTTAATGAATATAGAATGTGTATTTCTTTTGTGAATTGATTATTCACACACTCTCCATCAGTTTGAGCTTTTATCAGTCCATGACACATTTGACTACAATTTCCAATCACATATCACCACGCCTGGCTTTTTCTTTTCCTTAAAAAATGTTATTTACATACAGACAGAATATTGTATACTGTATACATAATAAATAAATAAATAAATATTTTTAAAAAAATGTTATTTAAGCAAGGTAGTAGTACATGCCTTTACTCCCAGCACTCGGGAGACAGAGGTGATTGGATCTCTGTAAGTTTGAGGCCAGCCTGGTCTACAGAGCAAGTTCCAGAACAGCCATGGCTACAGAGAGAAAGAAAAACAAACAAAAATTATATTTATATATAATACAGTATGAATGTTTTGCCTGTGTGGTGTATGTGTGCAACACATGTCTGGCGCCTATGTCTGGAAGAGGTCCCTAGGTTCCCAGAACTGCAGTTACAGGCAGCTGTGGGTCTGGGAACTGAACTTAGATCCTATGGAAGAACAACCAGTGCTCTTAACCTGAGCCATTTCTCCAGCCTTCTGGCTTTTTCTTTCCATTTTATTCTGGTACGAGCCTTTTGTAGCTCAGACTTTTAAGATGGTGTTTCCCATAGTAGAGCTGCAAAAGCATTTTCTCCTTTTATAGATTTAGAAATGTAAACCTCCGGAAAAAAAAAACTTCCTTTATAACTCTCCCCTTGACAGGGGTCTTTTCAATACATGGTGAATAACCTGTGTGTCTTTTTTTTTTAACCTGTGTGTCTTTCATTTCATCTACTCTTCCTCTGCCCTAATTTTTTTTATCATGCTATACTGCAAATGAATAAAATTGAAGAGGTCACAAACTATCAAAATGTTGCCTCTCTGTTCTTTCTCTTCAGTATTTACACTTTCACCTTACCCATCTGAAAGAAGGGTGCTGGCATTGATGAGGACATTCTCCCACAGCAACCCTAACTCCACAACCGAGAACACTGCAGCACCTGGCAGACACTTCATGTTCAGACTTTCTAATCTATAGTTTACAACACCACAATTACATGCAGTGAAATAATTCTACACCATCACCCATGCTTTATTTTAGCCAAATGGCCATGCAACGATAATCATACAGTATCATCTAACAACACTTCATATTCATATTTTCTAAATTATCTTACTTTTTTTTCAATATCCTTTGTAAACTACTACAGTGTCCACTACACTAAACTGCACAAGTAATATTACCATCCTATTCTCCCCACCATTCTACTATGGAAGTAAGTAGCAGGGCCTTTCTATAGGCAACAGTGAATTATAATTTACACTGAGCATGGGTTGAATGTTTCAGCAACTAAAGGAATCCAACCTTAAAAATTACTTTGTTAAGCATGGGGGCAAAGATCTTTAATTAATCCCAGCACTCAAGAAGCAGGAACTGGAATAGGCAGTGATGGTGCACTCCTATAACCCCAGCACCCAGGGAGGCAGAGGCTGGTATATCTCTGTGAATTGGAGGCCAGCCTGGTCTACAGAGAGAGTTCCATGAAAGCTTCAAACCTTGCCTCGAAAAACAAAACAGAACAGCAAGAGGAACTGTTTCAGAAAGAAAGGGTATGTGGAAAAAGGATCCTTTCTTAGAGATAATATTCTGCTAAAGAATTTCCTTAAGATTACAAATCTAGACACAGACTTGTAATCTTAGTTACTCAGGAGGCTGAGGCAGGATGATTCAGAAATCTGAAGTCAGCATGGGGTACACAGTGACTTCCAGGGTCTCAATTTTCCAGTGAATCCTTCATTGTGTGAATTTTCTTATTATTGCTGTTGTTTTGAGACAGGGTTTCTCTGTGGAATGCACACTCATCAATCTGTAGATGAGGCTAGCCTCTAACTCAGACTCACACTCATCAATCTGTAGATGAGGCTAGCCTTAACTCAGACTCTGCCTCCCCAATGCTGGGATTCCAATTCTCCCACCCTCACCCCAGGGTTTCTCTGTGTAGCCCTGGCTGTCCTGGGACTCACTATGTGGACCAGGCTGGCCTCGAAACTCACAGAGATCGCCTGCCTCTACCTCCAGAGTGCTGGGATTAAAGGTGTGCGCCACCACCGCTGGGCTGGAATTCTCTTTTTAATGCAAGTGGGACATCAAACAGTCAGGTACATGGGGTCCTTTTAGTATCTAAATTCTCACTATTTGATCAGAAAACCAAAGACATGGTGAGAGGTATTTTCATTCAGAAAAATAGAAAAATTGGCAATTTGACAGATGACAGGCAGATTAGGAGAAAAGTAACCAAAAAAGCCCACTTCCCAGGTTTGAGCGAGGAGGCAATGGGACAAAGGATGACTGCAGTCCCACTAACTGAGGCACAAGCGAGAAAGCCCGCTGAAAATGCACACTCATCAAAACAACCATCTTCACATTCTCCTATAAGAAATGTCTATATTGTGCACTACAAAAATTAGGATTCAAGACAAACCATTAAAAAAAAAATCACATCAAGGCTGGAGAGATGGCTCAGCGGCTGAGAACACCAGCTACTCTTCCAGGGGTCCTGAGTTCAATTCCCAGCAATCACATGGTGGCTCACAACCATCTGTAATGGGATCTGGCGCTCTCACATCAGCAGGAGAGGCTGTCAAGCCTTTAATCCCAGCATTTGGGAGGCAGAGGCAAGTGGATTTCTGAGTTCGAGGCCAGCCTGGTCTACAGAGTTCCAGGACAGCAGAGGTTAGAGGTTAGCCAGGGGGAACCCTGTCTTGAAGGGAAAAAAATAATTCCACCAGTAGCAGAGTGAGAACGTGCCTAGGATGCTGCCTGGAGGTCTAGGTGGAACCACCGCCTTAAAGCAAATTTATCCTAACAGAATCTTTAAATGAGAAACCGTTAAGTTCCTGCAAATACATTAGGCAGTATGGAAATGGCAAGAGCGAACTTTAAACTCTGAGCCTTTCTACCTAACATTATAGTCCAAACACGAATTGTCTGGGGCTGTAGCTCAGAGGCAGAAATGGTTACTGGAAGCTCTCTGGGCACCATCCCCAGAGCCGGTGGAGTTTTACTTATTTTTAACCTTAAATGCCTTCTGTACCAACTCCCCCAGAACAGAGTAGTTACTATTTCAAAAAGAGCAGAAATAATTTATTTTGCCTCCATCATTAAACAGCAAAGAACGCAATCTTGTAGCCTGGCTTGGTGGCGCACGCCTTAAATCCTAGCACTCAGGAGGCAGAGGTAGACGGATCTCAGTGAGCTCGAGGCCAGTCTGGTCTACAGAGTGAGTTCCAGGACGCCAGGGCTACACAAAGAAACGCTGTCTCCAAACACCCCCCCGCCATAAGATAATTTCTTGATTACTGTACAACTACTTTAAGAGATGGCCAACGGCAGTCTGGTCGGGTAAAACAGTTCTTGACTGAAGAAACTAAGTATTTCTTACCACTGGCTTAGGTATTATGCCGTTTCAGGTTTGGCCTCAAGTCTATTTAGTTTGGAAGTAATCACACCAGCAAACAAGGCTCCACTAACCGACACAATCTGTGCAATAGGGCGAAAGTAACTTGTTAATTTCTGTCCCACCCCGGAACATGATCTTTCGTGAATCGAAAGCCGTTACACTGTTCGGATAACCGGTCCAAAATAAAGGACAACTTAATCTAAAGCGTCTAGCAAGTCGGCATCGTTATCTGAAAAGAAAGCCATGCTAGTTCTCTTCGGTGCAAGGAGCCCGACTTGTTAGGAAAACCGGTCACCGCTCGGTTTAAGCCGGGGCACTGGAGGTGGGCAGTGGCGGTTGGGTCTCTCCATTCCGGGAAGAGCCGCGGGGCAGGGACGCGCAGACCTCTCGCCCGAGCTCCCGCGGCAACGAGAAGGGCGGGCGGGCGGGCGGAGGCCGTTAGCAGGCCGCGCGCACGCGGCTTTCCCGCCTCCCTGCGAGCAAAGAAGCCCGACTCTCCGAGCCCGCCCAAACCTTGTTCCCGCCGCCCTCGCCCCGCCTGGGGAGCCTCCTCACCTCACGAGCTTCATCCTAGCGCTGCAGCCTCCCTCCGGACACGGAATTCAGGCCCCAAAGACTCCCAGACAAGCCGTATGAATGGCCGGAAGAGCGCGCGGAGGGCTGCGGATGCGCGGCGAAAAACGCGGAAGCCGCGCTGCCTTCCGGCGGCCGGGAGAGCGACAGCGGCCCCTAGCGACGGGAGGAGTGCTTTGCGCCTTCTGAATGCGTGATGGCTGGTGGAAGACGTCTGCAGGAGGATTCACAAACGTTAAAACCATTTATGGGAGTTCTGAGAGAACCTCTAAGACTTAGGTTTGATCCTTGGGACACACATGCTGGAAGCAGAGAACTTAGTCCCGCAAGTTGTCCCTAGTCGGTTTGACAACTAAGTTGAGCCAATCAGATCTTTGGACAGAATGGTTTTCCTCTGGGGACGTGAATTGTACTAATCCTCTACTGAGCACCTTCTTAAAAATAGGAAAGCCATTCTTAGGACAGAGTTTTAAATAAGCCCTTCATTATATAGTAAGTTCTTCGACTTAAAAAATTATATGTGGATACTTTAGTTGAAATTAAATAAAACAATCCAACTCCTTATTTGCAGTAAACACATTGTAACTACTCAACATCTATATGTGTTTCTTATTATACTGTAGATAATTCCCACTATCATAAGAAGTTTGGATAATACTGGTTTACTATCATATTTGTTTGAGTCTTACAATTATTTACTTATCTACTGTACTCGGGAGAATTAGTGTCTGAAAACAAAAAAAAAAAAACTGAATCTGTTTACTGCACTCTCCAGCATCCAGTATCTCTAGTATTATGCTTTGATGTAAGTGCTTTTATTCCCCACAAAACATCCCTGCCCCGATGTATGGGAGCTGGTCCCAGGGCCTAAGAGACCAAAGAAGGAGGCAATAGGTCCAGAATTGCAATGTGCAGTTTACGGATGACTTATAACAGAAGCATGGGCCTGGACATCAAGAAAAGCACATAGAGCCGGGCAGTGGTGGCGCACGCCTTTAATCCCAGCACTCGGGAGGCAGAGGCAGGCGGATCTCTGTGAGTTCGAGACCAGCCTGGTCTACAAGAGCTAGTTCCAGGACAGGCTCCAAAACCACAGAGAAACCCTGTGTCGAAAAACCAAAAACCAAAAACCAAAACAAAACAAAACAAAAAACCACATAGGTCCTTGAGATTTGGGTTAGAAGATAGGTAGGTTATAAAATAGGGTAAAGGTTATTTCGGAGCTAGGCATGGTGGTGCAAATTTGAGACCATCAGGTACCACATGAGTAGACTCTATCTCAACTCTCCTCTTCCCCGTAAAAGTGATTTCACCTGTCAGACTGTACGCAGTCTGTCTCCCCTGTCAGACTGTATGCAGTCTGTCTCAGGCTACTATCAGATTAGAATCAGGCACATTCTTAAGCCAAGCTCTGGTGATAAAGCTTCACACACCTCTCTCAGGATTTTGTCTGTTTTATGCTGGGAAAACTGACCAGGGTGACTCAGGGGTAATTGTTATAGTTACCACTCAAGATGGTTTCAGTAATGTCAAGATAAACCTTCAGTCCTTGATTAATATTCACAAACAAATGTCTCCCCCAGTAGAATGAAAAACTTGGTCATGTCATCCACTGCAGTAATGCCAGCATTGAACACCAGATACTCCTTAGAATCCACAATAACCTTTCCACCTTGGGGCCCACCTTCCTTCTGACCCATCTTTTCCCCCTCAGTAAGACGGGAATGTCTAAAGTCTTGTAGTTCATCAAGCTAGCTCTTCTTTTCAGATGTTTGTGCTTGTAATCTTACAATCTAGCTGACACCTATTCATTCTCTCTCAGCCATGTGGGCACGGCATAATTGCATGCATATGCTAGTGTCAATTCTCTCAGATGTTAAATTGAAAAGCCATTGTCAGTGGTGGTGCATGCCTTTAGTTCCAGCATTCACACTCAGGAGGCAGAGGCAGAGAGAGGTCTGTGAGTTCAAGGCCAGCCTGGTCTACAAAGCAAGTTTCAAGACAGGCAGGACTGTCACACAGAGAAATCCAATCTTGAAAAACCAAAAAAGAAAAAGAAAAAGCATTGTTGTTAGATTAATAACAAACATGTTTTCTTTGTCTTTATTTTGGAGTTTGATTTTTTTAAATTTAGTATGTTGCAAGGGTCAGCAAGATACTGCTGAAGCCGTGAACTTTTTAAAAAAGAATTTCTTACCCTCTCACAGTATGAAACTGTTATGTGATCTGAAGTTAAGATAGCAGGATGAAACAAAGTAAACATTCTATTTGCTGCAAGCAATAGGGTGGGTGTGAGAGTAGGATTGTTCTGTGCTCGGTGACGTAGCAGAGACTGTATATGCTTCATTAATGAGATTGGTCACAGCAAAGAAAAGAGAGTAAGGAAATGAGAGTGTGTGAGTGAGGGCAATGTGCCTGTTTAAAGAAATGAGTGGGCTTTTGTTGCTGTTTGGGGCTGTTTGTTTTTCAATACAGGGTTTCTCTATGTAGCCTTGGCAACCCTGGAAGTCTGACCTCAAACTCATAGAGATCTGCCTACCTCTGTCTCCTGAGTGCTGGGTTTAAAGGTGTGTGCCGCTACCACCAGTCTTTTTTTTTTAATGATGTATTTCTACTTTTTATGTGCATTGGTGTTTTGCCTGCATGTATTATGTGTGAGAGTGTCAGATGCCCTGGAACTGGAGTTACAGCAGTTGTGAGCTGCCATTGAGTGTTGGGAATTAATCCCAGATCCTTTCAAAGTGTTCTTAACCACTGAGCCATCTCTCCAGCTCCTGAACTGGGTGTTATTATTATAAGAAAGTACAGGAAACTACATCTTGAGTTGGAAATGTGTTTGCCTGGCATGCACAAGGCTCTGTGTGCTGTCTTCAGCACAGCACATTACTTGACGTGATGGTATATAAATGTCTCTAATCTTGGCACTTGAGAGATAGGGGCAAAAAGCTCAGACATTGAAGGTGGTCTTTAGCTACACAGTGAGTTCCAGGACAACTGAGCTACACGAGACCCAGTCTCAAAAACAGAACCTAAACCAAACAAGTTTGGAGTCATCGAGGAAAACAAATGTGGCTAACAAGTCCAGTAGATAGAGTCACAGTTCTTAATTTAGCCAGAAAACACACTCGAAGGCCATAGCCTTTGTTTCAGGCGTGGCAGATCACAAGGCTGAACCAATCAGAACTTTCTCCTAGGACTGTCATTCGACTGCTGTCCGTCTGTCCTGAGCTCTAGTGATCTTTGTCCTGATGTCAGCAGAGCCTCCGTGAGAGTGGATGCAGAGGAGAGCAAAAGGTGCAGGGTAAAAGGGCCCGAGCACACTCCGAGGGCTAAAAATTACATCAATCCTTGAGTTTGTCCCAAACTTAGGAGTTGAAATCCCACCAATACCTCCCCTCCAAAAGTTCTGCCCCTAAGAGCCCCCAAATAAGCCTGCCTCCCTCTCAGTTCTCTGCTGCTTCTCTCCGGAGCAGAGGCAGCCACTCTCCTGTGTTCTTCCCAGTAAATCTTTTGTGAGGTTTGTTGTGCGGTATGACTTGTATTCCTCTACTTGACTGCCAGGGTACCTTTTCCCTCAGAACTGCAACACTTATAGAGGTGGGCATTGTAGTATCCTGTTGACATAATTTGAGCTTCAGGATGGTCTGAGGTCAGTTGCTCCCCCACAGCTTCCAGTTATAATAGCCAAAATGACTTTTAAAAAAGTAGCTTATATTAGTTTTAGGTGGACACTAATCACTTCAAACTGATCTGGATAAGTTTTTATTTGGATTATCAAATATTTCTTTCTCTCTCTTAAGAATAAAAAATTCATGGCTGCACCAAGGCGACACACGCCTTTAATCTCAGTATCTGGGAGGCAGAGGCAGGCAGATCTCTGTGAGTTCGAGGCTAGCCTGGTCTATAAAGCAAGTTCCAGAACAGCCAGAGCTGTTAAATGGAGAAACCCTATCTTGAAAAACCAAAGAAACCAAACTTTTCCCAGGGAGACACAACACATACATACATACATCTACTCACCCAAGATAGGGAGCCCCACAAAGACCAAAGCAGTGATTCTTCCAAAGTCCAACTTGGTGAACCAGTGAATTTTGGCAGGGTTACTTATAGGAGTGTGGGTGATGGGTGAAAGAGGCACCCCCACATAGCGGGGGGCTCCCCCCCACAACCACACCCAAACACCTGTTTTCACAGAGAGATCTTTTATTAAACTGGGAAGAGAAGTTATAGTGGCTGCTTTCCACAGAAAAACAATAGCAAATGACCTTGCAGGTGTGAGGGTTTTGTTTTGTTCGGTTTTTTTTTTTTTTTTTTTTTTTTTTTGAGGCAGGGTTTCTCTGTAGCTTTGGTGCCTGTCCTGGAACTAGATCTTGTAGACCAGGCATGCCTCAAACTTACCTGCCTCTGCCTCCCGAGTGCTGGAATAAAAGGTGTGTGCCTCCACTGCCCGGCCGCAGGAGTGATTTTTAAGAGCAGGAAAAGGGGAGATCCATGTTAGAATGGGCTAGGATGCTGTGGTAGAGGAGATGCGGGTGGGGAGAAGGGAAGGGGTGATTTTCCTGGAGGGAGAAAGGATTGCCTCTGAATGGAGAGGAAACACAGAGGCAAATGGTGGTTTATAAAGGTAAAGGGAGAATTCCCATGTTAGAAGGAGGTGATTAATTTAATGGGGGCTTTTGATTTCTGGACTTTGGTAGTCAGCCTCAGAAGGAGGAAGCGGCCAAATAAGGGAATAGACCTTGGGGCTAGTTTTAGGAATGTAACTCTATTGGTTTTTACCAAAGCAGAGGGAATGGGGGAGAAGGGCAAGGCCTGCCAAAGCCACATGTTTGAGTAGGCTAGTGTTCCTTAAAGGAGTCACTTACAGGAGCAGAAATGTCACAAAGACAACCAAAGTCCACCCCAGTATAGGTTGAAAGAATAAAAAGAAAGGCACACTGGGTATCTTTCAGTGGACCCTGCCGAAGTATGCCACTAAGCAAACATGACATGAGCAACAGAGTTAGTGCAAGAGGTTTATTGGAGGAGGAGGAAGGAGGGAAGAGAAGAATAAAAGGCCATCTTAGAGTGGGGACATGAGAGAGGCAGACAGACAGACAGACAGACAGAGAA